TAATGCTCCCCATAAAATGAATCTTAGGAGTAGTGTTAGATGCATGTGGTATCTTCATATAATTATTGAATGAGATTGATAAATGTTTGTGGTATTCCGTAGCAGTGAAGCAGTTTCCAAATTACATCTCGGTCGACGCTGTCTAAGGCCTTCTCAAAGGTGATGAAGTTGAGGTAGAGAATTTAGTTGACTGCCATTCTATACTCTGTTCTATGATGATGCGCAGTGTACCGTTACAATTTGGTCCACACATTATTTGTGCTTTCTGAAGCCAGTCAGCCAGCCTTCCTGTTCCGGTCGTAGTTTTTGCAAACACAGAGGTCTCCGTTCTTCAACAGTTTGACAAGGTAACCTTCACCAGGTACCTTCTGTTCCTTCCACACCTTCTGCAATAGTGGTGTGAGCATGTCCGTTGTTGTCTCTGCGTCTGTTCGCAGTGCTCCTGATGGGATCCCATCTGGTCCTGCTACTTTCCCACTTTTCAGCACCTTTATGGTGTTCAGGACTTCCACTTTTGTTGGAGGACTTATGTTCACTTGTAGTTCTGTGAGTGGGATGCAGGTGGTATTTGTGGAAGAAGTGCAGGTGGTGGTGGTGGTCGATTCAAGAGCTTCTTGAAGTGGTCGACCCATCGTTTCCTTTGTTTCTCTACTTTCGTTATTAAATTTCCGTCATCATCTTTTATTGGTTTCATGTGTGTTGGTCTCTACACTCCCAGATAGACTGTAACCTGGTTATTTGATACAATGTTGTCAGGTCTCTGTCTCTACTACCTACAGCCTGTTCTGATTCACTTGCCAGTGTTTCGTAGAAGTGTCTTTTGTCTTTCCACACACTCTTCTTCACTTCTTCATCCAGTGTGGTGTTTTATACATTGTACTCAGTTCCTCTTCTCGTTGTGCATCCTTGCACTGCACTGGTTTATCTTCTGCTTCACCATCACACTCTCCATGCTCTATCAGCTTCCATGTGTCTGTCGACATCCATTCCATTCCACTCCATTCCACTCCTTGTCTTCCTTCTTCTTCCTTCCTTCCTAATACGGCTGTGCAGGTTTCTTTCCACATCTCTTTCAAAGAATTCCAGTGTTCTTACACACAGGTTTCTTCACAGATATTCCTCGATATCTCCCATTTTGCCTTGATGGCTGACTGATGTGAAGATTTCCTTTGTAGTTTCGTGCTTCAGTTTCTTTTCTGGGTGTTGTACTTGAACTGCTGCCTGTCACCAACTTCCTTGAAGTCTTTCAGCTTGATTTGTAAGGTTCCTTGCACTAGATAGTGGTCTGATAGTGTCTGGTGAAATCCATGTCGCTTTGTGGATATCCTTGTGCTTGAACACACTGCCTCCAATCACCAAATAGTTGAATGCACAGAATCCTGCAAACAATTCTCCATTCTCGTTCATTTCACCTAGCGCTTCTCGACACATGGTTAGTTCTCTTCCTGTGTTGTCTGCTCCCACTTTGGCATTCATGTCGCCCATTAGAATGTATTCTGATATCGCCAACTGAGGTCTTGTCCAGTGTTGGTTGAAGTTGTATGTAGAATTCCTCCTTTTTCTCCTCATCTGCATTATTTGTAGGGACATAGCATTGTATGATTGTGACCTTCCTTCCTTCCTTTTGAGTTGAACCTTGCTGCCATGATCCTGGAGGAGATTGGTTCCCACTGATTGAGAGCCTTCGATGCTGTTGGTTACATCATTATAGCCACTCCATTACTCAGTGTGCTCGTGGTTGTTGTCTGGGTGACAGTAACGGAGTAGATTATTGATTCTCCAGTTGAGAGTTGGGAGAGTCCACTCCCATTCCATCTACTTTCGCAAATTCCAAGCACTTCGATGTTATACCTTCTCATCTCCTTTGCAATCTGGGCTGCCCTACCAACTGGGTTCAAACATGGTGTGGACATTCCATGTCCCCACGTTTACTTTCGCTTTCATCGAGAGAAGCGAAGACACATTGGCCAATTGGCTTCCCGAAGGCAGGCTTTCACCAACTGGCGTCATTTCGTCTCTCCGATTCCAGTGAGGAATAAGATTGTTTTTATTTTTGATGTATCGTTTGTGCTTTGAAGTTTCTTTAGCGGTTAGATTTGTTTTACGGTGTAGGGTTGCTAGCTGTCTGCCCAACCTTCCCTGTTTATTTGGGCTTAGGACCGGCTAGTAACTAGTGATCTGATTAACCAGGCGAGGTTAAATGGATGATAAAGGATATGAAGCACTTCCAACAAACTGGAGGCCTACATCAATAACTGCCGCCTACTCTCACTCGATACTAAAGATCGACCAGATGGTCAGAATAATAAGAATAAGAAACAACGAACACTGGCTGGTTGCCAACGAGCCAACCAAGATCCAATCGTCCAACAAATATGCACAGGAAGAAAGTGGAGATGGATTGGATTGGACATACACTGAGAAGACTACTCAGGGACGTCACGTGTCATGCAGGCCCTCGAAATGAACTCAAATGGGAAACGACGATTTGGGCGTCCGAGGAGAGGGTGATATGGAGGAGATGGTGTGAGGAAGAGATAAAAGCTTGTGGGCAGTCGTGGAGCAAGCTCACCCTCGAAGTAGGGTGGCATTTAAACCTACAAAATCACTCAGAGATAAGCTTTCTTGGCTGGCTTAAGAATATAATAGAATAAATTAAGCAAAACGATTTAATCTATCAAACTCCATGTAATGACTGTGACGTCAAGTAAGTAGGTGAAACTAGCCGGTTGAGGGTAGCTGAATTAGCAGAATAAAGGAATCCAGCTAAATATAGAATGACAGACCTGAATAAAATCAGTAATCTAGTAAAACACACTCGCATTTTTTTTGTCACGAGTGTGCAACCAATTTCATGTTGTCTAGTCCTGAGTGCAGATGGAATCCAATCGATCATATTTGCAATGCGGTAACCAGGCTAAGAGCTCAGCATCATCGTTCACATTAGTAGATGTTAGTTGGTTGGAGGCATTCGACAGGAAGCCCTTAACCTAGGTTTCGTGCATTTTTAGCACTCGTTGCCACATTGTAAATATGATCTACAGGATTCGGTCTGCTCTCAGGACTCAAGACTTCCTGCCGATAGCCTCCAATCAACTGACAAAGCACACTCGACCATTGAAATGCGTGCATTAACACACAAACATATCATAAAGTGGGATAAAACCACTGTAGTTAAGTCGAATATAATTAGGTGGAGAGAGAGACTGATTGCTGGACCTCTGTTCTTGACGCGACACCTATACCAGAGTTAAGGAAAACTTTACTACCAGATGGAACAAATCATATGGGGTGACGCAACTATAAAAATCAAATGTCTAAAGTTGTGTGATTACACTGATATGATTATGAGGGGTAATAACTTATGATTGAAACTTAACCAAGCAAATAATACTGTATCACGACGCGTTATAAATCAAATAAGTAAGTCTTTGAAGTGAACGGGGATTTTTAATTTAGAGGTAGTATTCATCATGGACTGACATCAGTTGGGAAACCATTGAAAGTTCGGAGCGCTGGACAGCAGTTTCGTCCTAGTATGGGACTCCTCAGCAGTACGCACCCACGACCCGGCTAGGGATCGAACCCAGGACCTTCAGGTTTCATGGCGAACGCGTTAGCCATCCAGCCACCACTTAGCCATTCAGTCCTGAGTTCGATCCCCTGCCGGGTCGTGAGTGCGTACTGCTGAGGGGTCCCATACTAAGATGAAACAGCGGTCCAGTGCTCCCAGACTTTCAATGGTCCCCTAACTGATGTCAGTCCACGATGAATACTACCTCTAAAATAAATAAATCTAATATGGAACACGTGCCATCTTGACTGGGGAAAGGAATGACAAAGAGCATCAACGGTGCAAACCTCTCATATCTAGTAGATATCTGATATCAGATTAAGATAGATCACGCCTTTTCTGTCATTACCATGTCCCATGCAATCTTTCTAAAGGTGCACGACTTCGCATCTTATTCATAGTCGAAACCAAAGTGATAAAGACTTAAAAACTGGAGCTATATGTTCAAAAGAAATATGTACATCCACTTTGTTTAACTTGGCCTTCAACAGGGTTGACACGTTCTTTATGAACTTTGCTACTAACATCCCATCCCTTTCTTCTATATAGCCATTACTTTGATGAACATTCACTTTCTTATGTCATTAAGTTTACGCTCTTCTTTATTCACACCACAACCTGTAGTTATCTTCAACCGTGACGTAATACTCCACATTTGTTATTGTCTATTTCATCATAGTATTCTCATGATTTTCATCCCACCTGAATATAACTCATCGCCACATAATTATTATTTGACCCTTAGTAAACAAACACATACAAATTCATGCCCCAATAAATGTAAATAGATGAACCATCACCTGTGTATTTTGTTTCCTCATTTCGTAACTGCACTGTCAAAATGGATTTCATTGCGCAACTAAGACACTAGACTGACAACAGTTCCACCATTTCATTCGATTTGATCTCTCTCGTGCCTTATTTCCGTTACTGTCTTATTGTCGCTTATTGTCTTGGCTTTATAACTGAGGAGCCTGAAGAAGTTATTGAAAACAATTGTTTATTATTCTTGTTATGAATAATCTATGGGGATCTTTAAATTAATATGGAAATCCCAAATTTTAACGAATCAGCAGCATAATCCCAGCAGCACCTAACTGCCCGTATAGACCCTCTTCAGTTAGACACCCTCATACATTATTATTTTTTGATCCCTACAGGGCTTAAACCTAGAACCATGAATCCTGAATCTCGGGCTACCAAAAAGTCTTTCCACCGATAATACTCCTTCAAATTCTTCCATTTGGTTGGTTTTGATCTTTCAAATGTCTTATGAACGCATCATGTACTCTCTCACGTTCTCAAAATGTTTTCAAACTTTCCTTTCTCAAGCTAAGAACAAAACAAAGGCAAACCGTTCCACCGCTTGGGAATGGATTTGTAAATGCTCAAAAATACATCACATTACTATTCACAGGATACCTACCTGTATGAGATTGCAAATTTTTGAGCTGGCTGTCTGACTGATCTGCCACCATCAAAATTACAGTCGATTTTGTGTTAACTCTCGAATTGAGAACAGATGCTAAAGTAACACTAGCTGCCCGTTTCATATTTATGCCTTAATACTGTTAGGATAACACTATGCAGAAGTAATGATTATTTCTTTTAAAAATATTGTACAGAAAGCGAGTCTGTTGGAATATTTGGTGTTGAAAATCTCATACAGTATCATACATGTTGTTTGGAGTTAAGCGGTTATCATTATTGTTATTACGATTATTAAATTCCATATTACATTTCTTTATTTGATTTGTAACACACAGTGATCTAGTATTATTTACTTGGTGACGTTTCGAGCCTAAATTATTGCTCATAATCATATCAATGTAATCAGACAACTTTCGACATTCGATTTTCATAGTTACGTCACTTTATATGAGTTGTTTTTATTGGTAGTAAAATTTTTCTTATCTCTGGTATAGGTGTTGAGTTATTTCTATTGTGCCTTGGGTGTTGGTTGATTCGATGAACAGATAGTAATCAGTCTCTCTCTCCATCTAAATATGCTGGACTTAAGTACAATGGCTTTATCGCATCCTTTGTGTAGTTGTGTGTTAATGCGTGCAATGCTTAAAAATAGCTGAGTTTTTTCTAGATTACTAATTTTATTCAGGTCTGTCATTCTATATTTAGATGGATTCCTTTGTTCTGCTAATTCAGCTACCCTCAACCGGCTAGTTTCACCTACTTACTTGACGTCACAGTCATTACATGGAGTTTGATAGATTAGATCATTTTGCCTAATTTATTCTACTATATTCTTAAGCCAGCCAAGAAAGCTTATCTCTGAGTGATTTTGTAGGTTTAAATGCCACTCTAATTCCAGCGTTGTTGAGGATTCTACGTAAAGTTTCTGAGGTACCCTCCTTATAGGGTAATACAATGAAGGCTGTGAACTCTTTTCTACTCGTGTTGTCGTTATTATTCATACTCGTGTTACTGTTATTCTTTCGTTTCTTTTGTGTCCGTACGAATATCTTGATAAACTGTGGAAGATAATTATTAACTATTGGTGCTTCTCTTACGTGCTTCACTTCCTTGTTTAGGTCTGTGCACTGACTAATCAGTTTCCCAGCTTTATCATTTTGACATCGACTCAGTCTGCCTTAACTGACATTGGATGAGATAACTTGAAGTCTAGATACCTGTTGGAATGTGTTGGTTTTCTGTAGACCGTAGTATCTAAACCACCGTCTGTCCTTCGCTTTATCCTGCAATCCAACATAGGTAATTCACCTTGTTCATTTTCTACCTCATAAGTGAATTGCATTGTGCCTTTTACTGGGTTTATGTATGTGAGGAAATTGTCGATATGTTCCGATTTCAACACTGTAAATGTGTCACCCACATATCGCCACCATATTTTTGGTGCAGGATTAAACGTTTGTGAAGCCATATTTTCCCAACGACCCATAATTATGTCTGCTACGATCGGGGATTTTAGAGATCCCATTGTTACTCTTTCTGTTTGTCTATACATTTTGTCCTGAGACTTGAAGAATTTGGAGGTCAGGTACAACTGTACACCTAATATGATCTCATCAGCCGATATCTTAGTTCTCTGATTAAGTTCTGAGTCGATATTTAGTTGACTTCTGACAGCCTCCAGTGCCATATTGATTGGTATTTTAGTGTAAAGACTTGTTACATGGAAAGTAACCATTTTTTCATCCTCTTCTATATGTAGGTCATTAAGTTTTAGTTTTAACTCGTAAGAGTATACTAGTCTGGAATTTGAACGGTTCCTTATAGGACATAATATTGATGCCAAGTCTTTTGCTGGCTCCTATGTTGGAGGCTCTTCTGAAGTCAACTATCGGTATAAGGGGATAACCTGGTTTATGAACCTTAATAGTTCCATAAGTTCTGCTAGGATCATTAGTTTAAGGCACTAAATAAAAGCATGTGTACCCACCTAGAGATGGCTTTAATCGGCTTATCAGATCGGCTGTAGATTTCTTAATTTTATTCATGACTGCGTCTAGAGGTTTCTTAATCTCTTCATATGATCCTGTTTGGGTATGTTCGTCAATTTTGTAGAAGTAATCCAATTTGTCGTTAACTACTGTTGAATCGCAATTATCAGACGTAACAATTACTATATTGTTGTCATTCCGCAGACTATTCAAAGCTGAATTTTAAATTTTGCTAAGTTGCAGTGTCTCTCCTTTTGTCTTTTCAGTGTTAACGCACACTGTGCTCTAACCTGATCAGCAGCTGCTGAATCCACCGAGCTCAACGCTACTCCAGATTCCACCCTAATGGTCGTTCACTTCCTCCGTAACGAAAATAGGTGGTTATATATATATATATATATATATATATATATATATATATATATATATATATATATCTCAGAAGGTATGTTTGCAACAGTCATAAAGAAGATACAATGGATTATATATAATTACACTGGTCCAGGCTATTTCCGGAAATATCAGACTTAAATCTAGGCTAATTTCAACATATCAAATGAGTGGATAATCAAAGTCTAAGCAAATAGAATGAAATATGTGTAAGGAGTTCCAAAAGTTGAAGTGAGTGAAAACATTTGTTAAGGTCTCTTGACCTTTGATCAAGGCAATCATGTTAAAGTGATTTCATCGAATTATTTTGATATTCATGAAATAGTATTCATCACGGAGTGACAATAGTTGGAGAAGCATTGAAAACCTGGTGTTTGTTTTGAGTAAGGCACTCTCCAGCTGTACGTACCCATGACCAAGTGAGGTATTGAACCAAGAACCTGTGGTTTTCATGGTGAACGCAGTAACCACCCTAGTATTGGTTGGGAATTCGATGATCTATGGTTTTCTACTTCTGTCAATTTGCGATATAGCGTGACAATCATTCTCAGTCTTAAGTCGATATCCAATTCACTACACACTGGTTGGTCCTACAGGTTAGGGCTTGACGATTAAATCACCCAGCTGAAGGAACGTAACAAAACATATATCATTCACCCAAGCTACAAATATTCTCCACTACGGAGACATTTTGTCAACTTTCTTCAAAACAGATACATTGAAACAGGTATATTATTTTGCAAGTTTGTCATGTATTGACTGGTGCTTAGAATAATCAAGAACGCCTACTGTTATGCACAATGAAGGGAGAAAAGGCTAGCTTCATACTATCAGGTGGTCTATTGAGTTCCTTATGATCATGATGATGAAGTTAGGTACGATACACAGCAACAGATTTTCACAGACTTCTGTTTAAATTTTACGTTTACATTCCTGTGTGATGAAGCATATTCATTCACAGAAGTCAGATCCCTGGATTGCAAAAACAGATAACATAATGTTGATATACATGAAGTATAAAATATAAACAGGAATATATAGGAAAAAGAAGCCATTTCAAGGCTTTTGTTTTAGTTAACGATTGGTTACTGAGCAACAGTAAATAAACTCATCATAGACACTAATACACTCCCTCAAATGAATACTGTAAATGTATGATTGTAAGTGTTTTAATCGAGTGCATACTCACGATCCTATATTTGCATAGAACACTTAATGAGAAGTGACAAAAAATACAAAGACATAGTAATGATCACAGGCGGAGTGTGTTGCCATCAATATAAAGTTGAAATATCCATAAGACAGCTTGAAATCGGAATGATATGCTATGATAACCGATCATTTAGTTTCATCTCATCATATTTCATTATGTATTCTTCTTTGAAGTCATTTTATTGTATAAAACTATCCTTAATATTAGTGTTACTGCTTGTATTACACCGTTGTTGATTGGACCAAATTGATCAGTCTCCATTGGCATATGGGCTCCTGTGCGGATGCCTCGATGTTGCCTGTGTTTTTAATTATGTATAGTAATGATGGATTTTGGTTAGCAGTGGAATCCAGGATGCACATTTCGTTCTATTTGAGACTCGTCAGCTAGATGTACCTGCCTCCCTGTGAGTGATGTTGTTCCCACCGGGATTCAGACTCGGGAGCGATTGCTTTAAAAGCGAGGACGTCGTCCACTACACCACCGAGTCATGGCAGCCACTTCTTGGATTCCACTGCTAGCCACTATCCATCTTCACTTTATATAAATAAAAACACAGGCAATATCAAGGCATCCACACAGGAGCCTATATGCCAACAGAGGCTGATCAATTCGGTCCAGTCAACGACGGTGTAACACAATCAGTAACACTACAACAATACCCATCGCACAAAAATTGGCTATCGTAGCTTGGTGGTGTTGTAGATAACGTTCTCGCGTTTGAAGTGATCGCTCCCGAGTCTGAATCCCGTTGGGAACAACATGACTCACTGGGAGGCAGGTACGTCCAGCTGGCGGGTCCAGAATAGGACGAAATCCGCATCCCAGATCCCATTGCTAGCCACTAGGCATCATTGCTATAATTAATATTATTACTTTTAAAATATCCACTTCTGATCTATGTTGTCTTTCTTGGCTTTTTTTTGAAAAAACAACCCAGATGATGTTCTTTACAGTTAGTCAAGTGTAAGCCTTCATCAAGAAATCTCCTGCTTCTGTTCTGCTCGATGCTTTAACAGTCTGATTTGAAACGCTGACACTTCATTTATCCATTTCTGTATGTTTTATAAAACAAGTAACTGATAAAAGTTGTTAACTTTGACACTGTTTAGTGTTATTCAATAATTAGTTAAACCTTTGAAAATTTACTTTGGATGTGATTTCACATGGTTTTTGAAAATATGATCTGTAGGATTAAAAGAAAAGTGTCATTACAGGACTTCTTGAACTTTCAAGTTAATTGTAATCCTGAGAATGTATATAGAAATCGTTTATTGAAATGTGAACAAGATGATTCAAAGCCTGGACTAAGCTAAGAAGTTTTAACATTATTCATAAATCTGTCTCATGCATGTACAGTGTGGAACTAGAATAACCTATTAACATCGAGTTGACAGTATCTGGTGAAGTAAGGACATGAATAGCAGATTCCGATCTGAGAACAGATAATAGTTTACTTGAGAATTCAAAGAAGCCATACAGATGAGCACTAACAGTTACACATTCAAAGTTAAACAGAAGTATTTACAAA